TTAAAAATGACCTGCTTTTTAACTGTTGGCAACTTCTTTTCTTTTTTGGCTAATCCTCATTTGAGAATTCCACCCATCCACTCTCCCCATTTATTTTGAAGAAGAGTGGAAAGGAGGAAGGGAGGGGGAGAGAGAGAAACATTGACCTGAGAGAGACGTATTGATTGGTTGCCTCCCATATGCACCCCAACTGAGGCTAGGGATTGAACCTGCAACCCAGGTACCTGCTTTTGACCAGGAATTGAACCTGTGACCCTTTGGTGCACAGGCCAACGCTCCAACCACTGATCCACACCAGTCAGGGCTGTTGGCAAAATCTTTAAAACAAACAAAGTAGCGCGCTGATGGCCAAGGAAGAGAAGTCTGTGTTCTGAATTCTCCAGTTTGAGACTCAAGGGCAAGTAACTACCATTCACCTCATTTCATGGGCCCATCCGTTCTGTGGGCTCAAGGGTCATCTCCCCTTTACTGAGGCTCAGGGAAACTGAGGCTCAGAAGGGGAACATAGCTGGTTAACTTAAGACAGCCCAATGATTAAGTGCTGGGGATGAGGTTTGAACCCAATTCACCCTACCAGAGCCCATGCCCCAAATCCCACTTCAGGTCCTCCCAAAATGGCCAGAATTCTGAGGTGGCCCCAGGAACCTTGTCCCCGTGTACACACCCCGTGTACACACCCTCTGTAACCCCCTGGAGTGTGTGTAGAACCTTATTTGGTAAAAGGTGGAGAGGGCTTTTTTAGATGTTAATTAATGTTCCCAAATCAGTTGACTCTGAGTTGACCCAAAAGGAGATTATGGCGGGTGGTCCCGACCTAACCCGGCAAGCCTTTTGTAATGGCCTGGGGAGCAGCCAGCAGCCCTGAGTGAGCTACTCATCGAGAGTGCCATGTGGCAAGCACCTGGGGAGGCAGCAAGAAAACTGGGAGCCACAGGCTTTTTGACCAGGAGGGGTCAACCTTGGGGCTATTTATTCCCTGCCTTCTCTCCACAAACATTTCTCATCCACCTGCACCAGCAAAGCATAGGGACTCCACCAGGGACCTCCAGCTCCGTCCCCCTGTCTAGCTCTGCCCTGTCCTCCATGGTCTGTCCTCCCCAAAGTCACCAGAGGGCGCTGTGAGCACTAACTCTGTTCTGCTGGCAGGCTTCATGGCTCCCACATCCCAGGGGTAAAAGCCCAAGTCCTGCCCTATCCATCATCTCCTCCCCATCACCTCCTCCCTCTATCCCCCTCCCTCATTCCACTCCAGCCACACAGGTCTCCTTCTGTTCCCCGAACATCCCGGGCATGGTCCAGCACCACGGCCTTTGCACGTGCTGTGCCTGCCTCCTGGTTATGTTCCTCTGGCTCATCCTTTCACCCAATTCTGGCCACTGCTTCAAGGTCACGTCTTCCGAGAGGCCTCCCCTGACCCCCTGGTTCAGGAAGCCACCTCGTCACGCCCTGTGTCCTGTTCCTGCTGACGGTTTTCATTGCCTTGTTTTATGTCACCATGTAAGTGTCATTGAGCTCTGTGGCAGGGACACCATGCCCATAGGGCAGTGATCAGCAAACTCATTAGTCAACAGAGCCAAATATCAACAGCACAACGATGGAAATTTCTTTTGAGAGCCACATTTTTCTAAACTTAAACGTCTTCTAATGCCACTTCTTCAACATAGACTCGCCCAGGCCGTGGTATTTTGTGGAAGAGCCACACTCAAGGGGCCAAAGAGCCACATGTGGCTCGCGAGCTGCAGTTTTCCGACCACGGCCCTAGGTCATGGCTGGGTCACAGTGATTTGAACAGCACCAGACACTTAGTAATTGATGAGAGGCTGATATTTATTGAGCACCTATGGTTTGCTAGGTGCTGGTCTGGGCCCTGGGTACATGACAGGGACAAAACAGACACTTCCTCCCCCCACCAATCAGGTGGCCAGCCTGGTGGGACAATAGATATAAATCAAATGATCACACCATGGTTAATCAGAGCCAATACTCATTTGGAATGTATTGTATGTGTACCAGGTGGTAGTACACTGTTAATCAGTTAGTCCTCACCACTGTCCTGTGAAGGTGATGCCATACCATTGATATCCTATCGTACAAATGAGGAAACTGAGGCACAGGGAGGTTAAGGGTCTCCCCAGCCCCCACGGTCTGACAGGTTATTCCAGGAATAGTCCTGGTGGCCCGGCCTCCCATGCTCCTATGTGACCTCTCGTCCTGACTCAAGCCTGGCATGTGCCGCATGCAGCTGGAGGGACAGCGGCGCGTGACACATGCATCTGAAGTGCTTATGTTTCGGGACCTGCCTGCCTGCTGGTCCTGGGTGAGGTCCCTCAGGGGAGGAGCCGGCCAGCCTGGCAGTCGCCCCATCAAGGGCAGCCAGATTTAGTAACTAAACATACAGGGTGCCCAGGTACATTGAACTTCAGATGAGCAGTGAGTGGTTTTTCTCAGCATGCCGATGTCCCAGATATTGCATGGGACATGCTTATACTAAAAACGTCATTTGTGCCCTAGCTGGTTTGGCTCAGGTGATAGAGCATCAGCTTTCAGACTGAAGGGTCCCGGGTTTGATTCCTGTCAAGAGCACATGCCTCGATCCCCAATGGGGGGCATGCAGGTGGCAGCTGATCAATGATTCGCTTTCAGCATTGATGTTTCTATTGCTCTCTTCTTCTCCCTTCCTCTCTTAAGTCAATAAAATATCTATCTGTCTGTCTATCTATCTATATTAAAAGCCTACGCGACCTTTATGACCAAATGACCAGAATGACTGGACGGCTAGCCGATAGCTATCACACACACTGACCCAGACCTTGCTGCTGGGAACCTGACAGCTCTAAATCTGGTTCACCCACACCCCAGACCCAGACCCAGACAGGGGGGAGGAGGGAGCCTGATTCCTCGTGGAATCGGTCATTGATTAGTTTGCTGCTGGGGCCAGCCTCCTGTGGTCCCTCCCTCTGCTGGCCACCTGCCCCCCATCAGACCCGATTGTTGGTCAGGCTGAGGGGCCCCACCTGTGCATGAATTCGTGCACCCAGCCTCTACAGTAGGGGTGTCGAACTCAATCAGAGAAGGGGCCAAAATCTAAAATCCAGCCTAAATCGTGGGCCGAATGGTTTACTGAACAGTCATAAACTGTCATTGTGATGGAAATGCAGCGGAATGCAGTGATGACAGCGGTGCGGGCCACATTGCAAGGCCTGGCAGGACGGATTTGGCCCGCGGGCCTTGTGTTTGACACATGTGCTCTACAGTGTGTGTGAGTGTGTGTGTGTAAAGTCATTTGTTGCCCAGCCAGCATAGCTTAGTGGCTGAATATGAACCAGGAGGTCATGGTTCAATTCACCATCAGGGTACCTGTCCAGGTTGCTGGCTCAATCTCCAGTGTGGGGCATGCAGGAGGCAGCCAACCAATGATTCTCTCTCATCATTGATATTTCTATCTCCCTCTCTGAAATCAATAAAAAAAAAATTTTTAATCTGCTATTATTAAAAAAAAAAAAAGTCACTTGTTATTGGCCTAAAATTTACATTTAACTGGGTGTCCCGGTTTTATCTCATAACTCTGTCCCCTCATCAGATGGCAGTCCACCTGCATAAGAGGGGTTCCCTGGAGGCATGGGGCCCTGTATACCAGGACCCTGCAGAGGTCATTAACCAAGGATGCTCAGAGGAGAGGGGGCGGGGTGCTGCGAAAAGTGCTGAGAAGCAGGCCTGGGAGGGAGGGAGGGAGTCAGGGTTCTGGCATTTCAGTCAGGAGCTTGGTTTGTATTTCAGCCTTTCTAATAGCCTGGGGGGGAGGACATTCCTCCCTTCACAGATTACAATACAGGAGCTGGGGAGACCAGGGGAAAGTGCAGCTCACAGGGAAGTGAGGGGCGGCCGAGCCCAGATACCAGATCTGAGAAGTGCCGACCGCTGGGCCGCCCGGTTTCGTTTCACCCTGAGAGTCCCCACTCTCTCCAGACAGACCCGTCCTCCGCTGGGAATTCCACTAAGAATTTATTTAAACCTTTTACCAAATACCTCCTGGGCAGCCAGCCGGGCTGTGGATAGGATTCTCCCGCTGCTTTCTAAGGGAGCTGCCTCATTAAAAGAATCAAAATGAAACATGCATTTGAAAAACATGACCGTTCCAGTGGTTGAACTTCTGGCCTCCTCAGGACATGCCAGTCAGGACAAGTCAAGAATTTCAGAGGGCACTGCATTTTTTGGGCACTTCAAGTGTGTGTGTTTTGTTAATCCTCACCTGAGGACATTCTTCCGTGGCTTTTAGAGAGAGTGGGAGGGAAGTGGGGGGAGAGAGACACACACACATTGATGCCAGAGAAACACATCTACTGGTTGCCTCCTGAATGGATCAAACCTGCAACCAACGTCAGTGCCCTTGACTGGGAATCGAACCTGTGGTCCTGTGGTGTGCAGGCTGACACCCTAACCACTAAGCCACTGGCCAGGGCCACTTCTAAATTTTTTAAGTCTCCCTGATGGTCCCCAACGGCCTTCTTATGTCTTCAAGAGAGCCACTAATCCCCCACCCCACCCCCGACCGTTTATAGTGTTAAGATACACATTAACAAAACTTACTGTCTTAGCCATTTTTAAGTGTTTGGCTCCGTGGCATTACACTGTTGTGCAGTCAAGCCCACCACCCATCTCCAGAACTTTCTCATCTTCCCAAACTGACACTTTGACCCCATTACACACTCACCCCCTCCTCCCCAGCCCATCGCCCACCATCGGCTCTCCGGCTCCGTGAATCTGACTCCGCGAGGCACCGCCTGTGAGTGGAACACACACTCTTGTCCTGAGTCAGCGCTGACGGGCTGCAGGGCAGTGCCCGGCTCAGTGGGATGGACGGCGTGGGACGTCTGGGCCTGGCCTTACTGCAGAGGCCACCCCACCAGCACCGATGGAGCGCCTACTGCGTGCCGCGCGCCGGGAGCGCCGGGAGCCCCCACACCCCGCGGGCTGGGAGCAGGGAGTGTCACCGAGAGGCATGAGCCAGAGGGAGGAGGGTTTATTCACGGTGGACGTGGACACAAGAACCCCTTTGAGCCCACAGATCAAGCCCTTCCTCCGCAGGCCACGTGCTGTCCCCGGGGCTTTGCCGAGCGGCGTTGGCGGGGACGGAGGGCCGTGCGGAGGCCCTCAGGCTGGGCACTCAGGTTTCCTTCCTCAGCCTGGACGGTTTCCCCGGGGTGGAGCGGGGGCACGTGAAATGGGCACGTGCCCCCACTTAGATTGGGACGTCGAGGGGGCCGAGGGGGCCGCTCAGACCTGCGGCTCCTCGAGGTGCCAGGACACAAGCCTTCCCCCACCCACCTCCCTGCCCTCAGACTGGTGGGAACAATGACGAGCGGGGGGGAGGGGAGCTGGTCTCCGTTCTTCTCGGACGGAGAGCATTTGGCAAAGTCCTCGAAGCAGGAGGAATTGACAGAGGTCCCGTTTTACCCCCGGCTTCAGAGCCAGAAAGAGCAGAACGATTTCTCTAGGAAAATAAAATCAGAACAGAAAGCCCTTGAGTCCAGGGCCACACCCGCCCTCAGGATTGTGGGCGTGTCATTAGTGGTCCTCGGACTGTGGGGTTAAATGGGGACCTGTTTCCTGAGGTGGGGGTCTAAGGGATGGTCTTGGCAGTTCCCGCAGGGTCCAGGTGCCCCCTCTTCAGGCTCAGTCCTCATCCTCGCTGGCATAGACGCCGGCTTCCCAGCGTTCAGCCATGGCGTTCTTGTGGCGGGTCACCCGCGTGGCTTCCAGGAGCTGCAAGAGGAGGTACAGGGTCCCCATCAGCGTCCCAACCCCCCTCTCCCACTGCCAGCTCATAGGATGGGCTTAGCACAGGGGCAAAGCAGGGCCACCCCCTCCTCTGTTTCAGACTTTCTACTCCTACTTATGCCAAGCTCCGTAGCAGGGGAAATATCCGGGTCTGGCTTTGTAGGCTCAGCTCAAAGGTGGCCCCAAATATATTCCACAAACCCACCGAGGTAGCTGGCCTTCTCCACACGCTCAGATGAACCCCTCCCTCAAAGAAAGCACCCTTGTCTTGGACCCAATCTGGTCCAAAACCTTCATCATTTGGCAAAGAAGCTGCAAATGCACCCTTTTTGCAACAATCCATGCCCATGCAGGCATCACAAGCAGCTCAGAGCAAAATCCACCGCGGGAACGCACTGCCAACCCAGGAGCTGCCCAGTGACGTTTCCACATCCCAAAGAAAAGCCTTCGGTGGCCCCGGTGCCATGGGGCAGGGCACAGACGGGGAGGAAAAGACCGCCCCCGCCCCCGGAACGCACTCACCTCCGAGTTGACATGGTCCAAGGGGTTGATGCCGGCATACTGCAGGAAGGAAACATGCGTGAGCCCTGGGCCTCGGGCCCTGCCTGCCCCACAGCCCGCCAGGAGCTCGATGCGAAGTCCACTCGGTCAGCCCTGAGGCAGGAGGGAAGGTGTTCCATACCCACACGGACCTCTGAGGGGCCCTTGATGACCACAGATTCAGCCATCCACCATGCTGCTCCCTCATGCTAACCCCCTGCCCCCCCCCCCCCCCCTCCGCCCCGTGCAGCCTCGGGCTGGCATTTGCAGTTTTGTTTTGTTTTTTAATCTTTCTGTGAACTTCAGCTTAATAAAGACAGTCACTATGTATGGAACTTTTCCCACGGCCGGGCCCTGTTGTAAGGCTCGGAGATGGCTCCTTTCATGGTGATTTCACAAAGGAGGAGCTTGCTGAAACCGGTTTGGCTCAGTGGATAGAGGGTCAGCCTGCGGACTGAAAGGTCCCGGGTTCGATTCCGGTCAAGGGCATGTACCTTGGTTGCAGGCACATCCCCAGTCAGGGATGTTTAAGAGGCAGCTGATTGATGATTCTCTCTCATCGATGTTTCTAACTCTCTCTCTCTCTCTTTCTCTCTGTAAAAAAATCAATAAAATATATTAAAAAAAAGAAAAAGGAAAAAAAGGAGGAGCTTGAGGATCAGAGAGGGGCAGGGACTTGTCCAACGTCACACAGCAGGCAAGTGGCAGAGCGGAGAGTGGAACCCAGTTCTCTGTGCCCGAACCCAAGAGGCCGGGCTATGAGTTCCGGGTGGGTGAGGCTGGAGCTGGTGTTACTCTCCATGGCGCCCCCAGCGCCCCACTCCGGGAGGAGCTGGCCTCATCGTTACAAAGGGTGGTGTGCACTCAGGCCTGGGCTCAGGTCCCGGCTCGGGAACTCTCAGGCCACTCGACCTTTGACAAGTCTCCCTCCACGGGCGTGGCCAGGGTTCTAGACTCACCCACTGCTCCTTCTTCTTTCCCTGCCCAGGAGCAGCCTCCGCGGGGGCCTCTGCCGTCCACACCAGGCCCGAGTGCAGGCGGATGGGGGTGAAGAAGTGTGACTCGGACACTGAGTAACTCCCGGTGGTGCCTGCGGGGGGCAGGGGGGAGGATGGAGCATCAGGAAGGGTGCCATAGCCCCGTGAGGGCAGAACATCTATCAGACCAAGGCCTGGGAGACACAGAACATCTGGACCACTTAAGGAGACAGGTGAATGAACAGATGTGCAGGGCAGAGAGCTTGTCAGGAAAATGGATAGAACGACCAAAACAGCCAGCCAGAAAGAACTGGACAGATGGATGGGCAACCATGCCAGGTGAAAACATGAAAAGTGACACAGTGGATACAGCGTCAGCCTGTGGACTGAAGGGTCCCAGGTTCAATTCCGGTCAAGGGCATGTACCTTGGTTGCGGGCACATCCCCGGTAGGGGGTGTGCAGGAGGCAGCTGATCGGTGTTTCTCATCAATGTTTCTAACTCTCTATCCCTCTCTCTTCCTCTCTGTAAAAAACCAATAAAGTATATACATATTTTTAAAAGCGACATAGGAGATCTCTCATCTGACAAAGGGGAATAATTGACCAAGAGGATGCAGCACCTGTAACCTTTTTATGCGCCTAATAGCAAAGACTTCAAACCCACAAAGCGAACGCCACGGGGCAAAGTTGACATCTCTCTCCAAAACCGACATTTACACAGGCAGAGAGACCAGCCAGCTGGGGGAGTGGACAGAGCCCCCCAGATGTCCCTCTAGATAGCCCAGGCTCCACCGCTCCACCCTTCTCTGCTGCAGTCACCGAGACCAGGTCGAAGCAGCGGTCCCCGCCGGGACCTCTCCTCACCCGACGCCCGGGAGGAGCTCCTGGAGTCCGGGTCGCCGTCGCCGTCGCCGTCGGGCTGCGGGGAGAAGACCTCGGGGAAGAGAGCCTGGCGCCGCTCCTCTGCCACCTCCTGCTCCCGCCTCAGCACGCTCTCCACCTCTCGCTCCAGCAGCTCGGAGGACTGGGACCTCTGCAGCCTCAGAGCCGGGGCCCCGGCCACCTCCCAGCCCCAGGTGCGGGGGGCCTCAGCCTTCTGGGGCGCCTCCGGGACCCCGAACCGCAGGGGGCGCAGGCGGAAGTACTCCCACCGCACGATGCCCCTGTGTGCGGGCGGGGGACCCCCGGGGGGCCTCCAGGTCTCCTGCTTGGTGCCCGGAGGCTTTCTGGAGGGTTCCGAGGGCAGCCTCTGCGGCCCGGCGGCCTTGGCCTCGCCCGCGGGGAGCCCGCCGGGCCTGCCGGGTGCGGGGGAGGCCGGGACCTGCTGCTGGGGGGCCCCCAGGCCCAGGTACGGCTGGTAGGCGTCCGGGGGGATGCGGCTCACCTTCCTCAGCTCTGGGGTGGGGGGGTCGGCTGCCCTGGGGGGGTCTGGGGCCTGGCCGAGGATGGAGTCTGAGCTCAGCGCTCTCCTGAGTCCGGGCTGGGGACCCCCGGGTTTGCCCTCGGGCTTGGGCGCCCAGCCCCCCTGCAGGCCCTCCCGCCGCCGGTGGTCCTCCTCCCGCTGCGTCTCCTGCGCCAGGTCGCGCTGCACGTAGAGCGAGGGGCGCCCCCGGTCCCGCCGCGGGGCCGCCGGGCTCAGCGTGGCCAGCAGAGGCCGCGCGGGGATCTGCACCAGCTCCTGGGGGGCCCCGGCCCGCCGCAGCCCCCGCTGCTCCCGCAGCGCCTCCTCGCGCTCCTGGGCCTGCCGGATCTCCCGCTCGATGGGCGTCTCCGGGGGGGCCTCCGGGGACCGCGCGGGGGGCCAGGCGCTGGGGTCTCCCATGGCCTGGACACCGGGCCCCAGGGGCAAACCGCGGAGCCTCTTCTCTCCCACGCCCACCTCCTTCACCCGGGGCTGGGCCGAGGCGGCGTAGCCATAGCCATTGGCTACGAGGAGCGGTGGGTTCGGGGCCTGGGGGGCCTGGCTGAGCCTGGTGGGGGCGCGCTCCGGAGCCGCCCGGGCCTGCGGGGTCAGCGGGGCCCAGGCTGGCGGGGTTTGCGGGGCCCGGGCCGGCGGGGCCTGCGGGGTCTGCGGGGCCCAGGCCGGCGGGGTCTGCGGGGCCCGGGCTGGCGGGGTCTGCGGGGCCCAGGCCGGCGGGGTCTGCGGAGCCCCGGCGTTGGCCTGCTCCAGGCTCAGGAACTGCTGCCTCGCCGCCAGGAAGTTAATCTGCTCCCTGTCCACCACGCTGTCCTCCAGGGGGGTGAGCGGAGGCCGTCCCGGGTCAGGGGCGCCGTGCAGCGTGGCCACCGTGCTGCTCCTTCTCACCGCCTGGCCCTGGATGACCGCCCGGCGCTCTTGCTCCAGGTCGGGCGGCCGCCTGGGCCGGGCGTCCCCGCTGTGCAGGCGGTAGGCCTTCACCTCCTCGTCCTCCTCCTCGTCCTCGGGCCGCAGGGACGGCTGGCAGAGGCAGGTGCGCAGGCTGCGGGGCGCCCTTGCCCGCAGCACGTCCGGCTGGGCCTTGCGGTCACCGCCCCACCCTGCAGTCTGGTCCGGGCCCCAGTCGCTGTCCGAGGCTTCCACATGCACCAGCTGGTACGTGTAGCAGGCGTCCCCATTGAGAGCCAGGCCCGCCATGCCTGGCGAGTCGGGGATGCTGAAGATGGGGTATCTGGTCACTCGGTCCATGTTCTCGGGGGTCTCAGCCACCACAGGATCAGGGGTGGAGATGCTCTCAGCTCCCTGAGGATGAGAAGGAAGCACAGCTGCCAGGTAAGAGCGCTTGGGGAGGGGCACAATGTCCAGTTCTTTCAAGGGCAAAGTCCTGCCCCAGTGGCCTCTGTGATTGGTCCAGGGGTAGATAAGTGACCCCGCCTGGCCAATCAGAGCACCCCCTCCCCTGGCCTATGTGGTTCCGGGCTGGACATATGACTCAACCTGGTCAACAACGATGACGTGAAATCCTGACACTTGACTGTGGAAACTGGACCCTCTTCCTGTTAGGCTTGTTGGGTTGGTGGAATGAAACGGACAAATTCTGGGGGCCATACATGCCCCCTCCTTGTGGACACATCCTGCTCAAGAGCAACCCCAACCCCAACACAGCATCCTAAAAATGTTGTTTGAACTCCTGGATCCAGCCATACCTGAATCTCACCCCTGTACTGATCCAACCACTGGCCTCACGTATATCTGCCATTTGCAGGCACCCCTGCTCACCATCTCCCAGACACTGCCCATCCAGTCTTGGGGATCCCCTGCTGCCCGAATCCTACTACTCTCCTCTTTTACTCAGTTCACCCAACCCCCCTCTCCCCCCACCTCAGCCACATAAAAGCCAGGATAGGCTAGGAATGCTTGGACCTTATCCTGCTAGGCAGACCACGCCCTAACCCAGTGCCCCAGGGAGGCCCAGAGCCGCCTCCCTCCTCCCTTGAGTGTCTGAATGTCCGGGAGCTTTCTACAAGGTCACACACCTGATCTCATATCTCATATCATGGTTCCGTTCTCACTGCTTTTCCCAGGTGCTCGAGGCCTCCATCTGGCCTCAGCACAAATTCCCAAACTCTGTAGGTGCCTCCACCTCAAACCTGAACTGCCTCACCCCCCTGAAGCTCCCTTTGCCTGAAGGTCCATCATTTCTGCACCTCCACGGCCTCCTTAGCTGCAGCCTACAGGACACTTCCTCCAGGGAGTCCCCCAGATTGCCCCATGGTTGGAGCTATCATCAAAGCCTGGCCCACCACCTAATGTTAGGCGTCACCTTTTCATGGCTGTGAAAAGGAAGGCAGGTTGTTCCCGACTCCTCACACAGCTCTTGTTCTCTGCCCTGGGCCCTGGTTCCTCCAGAGCTATGCACGTCCGCTACCTTTTTTAAAATTTATTTTAAAAATTACTTTATTGATTAATGTATCATATTTGTCCTCACCCCCCCCCATTCCTACCCCAAACCCCTCCCCACACATTTCCCCACCCCCTTCCGCTACCTTTTTATACCAACTAGCTTATAAAGGCTAAATGCGGTTCTGAAAGGAAAAACACAGCATGTCCTTGAACTGGGGAAGTGTTATCAAGCAACATAAAACCTGATCATGGGAACAATGTTACAACTAACGAGGTTATCTATCATCCAATCTTTTGTATATATCAATTGCTGAAACTATAATTAGAAAAACAATATTTAAAACAGTGGCTATGATAGTAAATCGCAAGACTCTGGGCTGAGCCACCATACCAATGACAGAGCAGAGGTTTTCTCTCTGGAAGTGATTGAGGGTAAACATGTCTTTGAAAGGGGAACACATTTACTTAAGGCCTGTCTTCCCCCACCTATCAGCCTAGGACCCTCTCTCCCAGGGGCCCCCTGAGCATCTCTCCGGCAGCCCAGCCAGAGTCTGGTTTTCAGCAGGAATTTAAGAATGGCTGGCGGACAGGGTGTGGTCTCTGCAAACATTACTCGCTCCAGGTTCTCAGGAGGTGAGGGCTGGGCTATTTTAGCTGCAGACCTGGCTGCCCCTCTGGGGCTCCCCTAGAGACCACAGCTTGTCCTCCGGGCCAGCTCCGTCCCCACGCCCCGGGGCTGCCGGGAAGGACAGGTGTGGCAGGGGTGACTCAGGGGTGTTTGCTGAGTGAATAGCTGGATGCTCATTCACCAGGATTTATAACCCACCGGGCACATTGGTTCCGGAAAAGAGATCTGCCTGCCCCTGCTGGGTGTCTCCTTCAGGGCAGGGGAGGGTGGGACACTGCTTCCTCCTTCGCCCGTTTCTCCCAGGCAATTCACTGAGGATAACGAGGGGTGGGACTCCGTCTGGGTCTTGGGTTCAAGGCCCCAGGGTCCCTTTCACCTAGGATCTTGAGCAAGTCTCAGCTCACCCCTCACCTTCTTTGCTCCTCACGAGATCCTGTGATGAGGGGACCATCCCCAGTTTACAGCACAGGGAGCCAAGGCCCAGCGAGGAGAAGTGGCTCACCTCAGGACCCACGGGAGTGACAGGGAAACAGGTCCTGAAGTTCAAACCCTCACCCCGAGTTGGCCGCTCTTCTCCAGGAAGCCCTCCTGGATTGCTCCAGCCTAGCCCCACCTCCACACCCCTGTCAATACAAAACCAAAACGGGGGTTTATGGCCCCTGGGGCCACTCATTTGCTTGCTCATCACCGAAACCAGCAGGCCTCCCGCCACCGGGGCAAAGGCCGGCTGGAGAGGCGGAGGCTCAGACAGGGAGGGCCACGCAGCGGGAAGGGGCCCCAGGCATTCCTCCCTCCTCACTCAGCGGCGCAGCCTCCCAGGCCCGGGCAGGGCAGAGCCTCTGTCCCTTCGATACACAACCGAGTCTGTGTCTCCTGCTGGACAGAGCTCTATGCTCACACAAACACACACCCCTCCTCCCAAGTGCCCCCACCGAGCCCCGGCCCAGGGCAGTTGTTAAGTGTTGCCCCCCAAGCAAGGCTGTGGCTGGCGCTATGTGCCTCCCCATCAGCCTCCAGGATTCTCGGAACCCACAGGCGGAGGGGGACGGGGCCCCTGTGGACTCTGGCCATGGCGCCAGCAGGCCCCTCTCTTAGGGGGGAGGGTGTCAGGGCTCAAGGTTCTTAGATTGGAGGCCAGAAGCCCAGGGTGGAGACTGAGAGCTTAGCAAGGGCAGGGGGCAGGGGGCAGGGGCAGGGGGGCAGGGTGGGGAGGGCAGGAAGGACACAGACCTCAATGGCATCAGAGCAATGGGGCTGAAGAACGACGGGAGAACCCCACCAGCCCCTGAGACCCCAGCCGGTCCAGAGGGGAATGGGGTGAGAACGGACTGCCTCTCTCCCGGCTTCCCAAGGGCCTCACAGGTGAGTGGAGGATGCCAACCGACACAGGAGTCCCCACTCCAAACACAGAGCCCACTCCACGCAGACCCCACCCCGCGGCCGTGGCTCTGAGTGCATCCTGCCCCTCACGCCCCCCGTCTCACCCGCCAGCTCCAGCTGCAGCCTCCAAGCCCCGGCTCCGCTCTGGCGGCGCCGCCCTTCCCTCAGGTTGCCCGGGGAAGGGCCCCACCCAAGGGAGGCAGGTGCACTCCCCCTCCTCGGCCCCACCCGGGACCAGGAAACAAAGTCCGGAGGAGGAGGGAGAAAGCCGATCCCCGGGCGGCGTGGAGGGCAGGCACTGTGCCCGCTGCACTCTGTCCCCGGCCCGGCCCCCGGGGCTGGAACTCACCCGAAACCTCCCTGTCGCTGCCACCTGGCTCCCCTCCCCGTCCAGGGCCGCCCAGAGAGGGGGCGCCTCGCCCAGGGTCACACAGCGGGCACAGGAGTGGCTGCCCATTGCTGGGTGCGGGGGGGGGGGGGGGTCCGGTCCCACACCTCCATGGTGCCGCCTGGCTCCCCCCGCCTTCGGGGCGACTCCACCCGAGTCCTTTCTGGGACAAACCCGTTTGCCTGTCCGTTTCTGGGGGATCCGGCGGGTCTGGGTTCACTTCCCGGCAGCCTCTCTGAGCCTGTTTCCTTCCCATGAAGTGGGGCCATCACACAGCGGGGAGGAGGCCCCGGCTGCTTGGGAGTCGGACACAAAGAGCCGATTGAAGACTCAAAAGTGGTGGGAATGCTGGTGGGTGGGCAAGGCCCGGGTCCCGCTGACAGACAGAGCAGAGGCCCTTACTGGGCTGCGGGTGCTCCCAGGCGCTCAGCCGACCCGCCCGATTCTTGGTTGAGGTGCAGAGCCTGGCCAGGGCTGCGGGAGCCCAGGGTTTGCAGGGACGTCAGGCCACTGGGACCAGGTCTACGGGGCGGGGGACACCGTGGAGTGGGCTGGGACTCTGTCCTGCTCGTGGCTGGCTGCAGGGTCCCTCTCAACCTGTCTCTTCTTCCATCGCATGGGCCTGAGCCCACCCTGGCTGGCCTGCCTGGGATGAGGGTTTGAGACAGGCCCACATTGGGGGCCCAGCCCAGAATGACAGCCTGAGCGTTCAACCTGGGCCAGTTCTGCCAAACCTGGGGCGCACGGCCTCGCTGTCTTCCCTCCACACCGCTCACCGCACGTCCTGTCTGTTTGCAGACACGGAAACTGAAGCACAGTCCTGGCTACGGGCACACAGTGCTGGAGGTGGGGGTGGGGGGGGAGCTGGGACCTGCCCACCATCCTTACCGCCCTATTGGAGAAACTGAAGCCCCACATGGCAGAGACTGTCACCCAGCGTGCTGGGCGTCCTGTGGAGACAAGCACCCCCATGTCCTGCTCCCAGACAGGCGGCCCACTCAGGGCTCAAAGCATTGGACAGCCGGGCAACTGAGGCCCACGGGGACCGCGGCGGCGTTTCCCAGGCAGTGAGGGGACATGGGGTCGCAGCCCCATCAATGCGTCCTCCCCCAGGGCCCCGCCTGTCTTTCAGAGGCTGGTTCCCGTAGAGCTCGGGCGTGTCTGGGGGATCCTTTCGGTTTCCTGGGGTGCTGAGTGCCGGCACAGGCGGCCTCACAGCCAAGGGGTGAGAGTGGGGCAGGGCGAGCCTGGGACGGAGGGCTCCATGGGAAACAGAAAGCAAGTCCTGATCCTGGCTGCCGCCCCTTTCCCTCCAGGTCTTACCTGCCCAGGTGCTGTCAGATGTGTTCGAGCGTAGGTGTGGCCTCCGCCGATGTCCCCACCGCAGAGCCAGGTGAGCGGGAGGAGTGCAGGGCCCCAGACAGCCTCCCTTTAAGGCCACCCAGGCGGCCCCACCCACCCCCTGGCTGGCCACATCCTCCCGGCCCCAGAGAAAGCAAGAACTCCAGGGCGTTCACGGGGTTTATTTGCTTCTCTGGGAAGGTCAGGAACACGGGCCTGTCACACATCGAAAGCAGAGGGGGCGGCAAGGGCACTTCAGCGTCGGCGCTCGGCTCGAGGACCTGGCGGCTTGAGGAGGGAGGGGGTCCATGCCACTGCTGGGGGCCACCTCAGAGAGGGCCTCTCCTCCCACCACCAGGGGGCAGAGCTGAGGCAGGCCGGGCTGATTTCAGGCAGCCCTTGCACAGCTCCTCCTCGGAGGCAGTGGTGAGGGGGGGGCTACCTCAGCCTGGGCACCAGGTTTGGGGGCCAGGGGAGGGGCCCAGATGGGGCCCGGTCATCCTATAGCCTACACAGGAGAGGGCGCGTAAGCATGGGCATGAATGTGCCTCTGAGGATGAGTGTGGCTGCAACCTGGGAGAGGTGCGTGCACGCCTGGGTGGCAGCGGCCCAGAGCAGGAGAGGCCCTCACCCCTCACCCCTTCCAACGAGGTGGGGGAGGCTCCCATTGGGCTGGGTAGCCAATGGGGTCTCCTGCTGCAACTCAGGGGGAGCCCCCTGCCCCAGGCTGTGGGCCCTCCACTGCCCAGAATGTGCCAAGCCTAGCAGAGCTGGCAGTAGGCCTGATCTCTGGGGTACAGTTAGGGAGACCCAGGACTCTGGCCCAAGTAGACTGGAGAATGGGCTGGGGCGGCCCCCTAGGGTCCTCAAATTAGCACCAGGAGGAAGGAGGGCCCAGTGAGGGTGGGAGCTCCGGACAAGTGGCTCACGTGACCCCGCCTTGTGCAGGGTGCAACTCGAAGACCCTCACCTCACCGGCCCCATCCAGAGGACAGCACAGGGGTCACAGACCCCCCGCCCCAAAGCGGGGTGTGCGTCCTCTGGGCTCCCCCTTCCTAGGCTCCTTCGTGCACTGGTCATGCCACGGAGAGCATCCAGGGACGGGCACACTGGGCTGGGGTGCCGGGGGGGGGGGGGCGGCCCTGCTTTCTTCTAAGAACTGGAGCCTGGTCTCCAACGGAGGCTCCCCCATGAGGCACAGCCTCACCCCAACTGCCCAGGACCCCAACGCCAGTGCCTCTGCCGGGGAGCCCCATGCCCAGGGGCTGAGTGGGGACAGAAGAGGCGCCCAGGACCCCCCGCTCTCCAGTCCCTCTCTGCAGGATGTGCCCCTGCTGGAGGTGGCAGGAAGGCACAGGCAGGAGGCCCGGAGGTGGCGGGCTTGCCTGGGCGGCACAGAGGCCTGGGTCCCACCGGCCAGGAGCACTCTGTGGGCAGAAGCCCGTCGCTGGAGCTGCCGTGACGTGTGGGGGATCCTCGTGGTGGGGAGAGTGGGTCTGTCCGTGTCTCTGTCCTGCCAGGCACAGGCACACCGCTCAGTGGTTCAGGGGGAGTCGTCGGGGTGGCCATGGGTACGGGACCCCTGCCCCTCTCTTTCCAGTGGAAGGAAACTCAGAAGGAAGATGTGACAACAGAGCCTGTCCTGGGGCCGTGACTGTGGGTGGAGGGCGGGTGGGGCCCGGGGCCGGTGTGGAGGGCGGGGCCGGGGTCTGTGGCCTGCGGCTCACATGACGGAGCAGCATTTGCAGCGCTGCTTCTTCGTGTCCAGGTCCTGGGCGTCGCCGGCCGGGGCCTCGGCCCCCACCTGGTTCTCCTCGCTGGCGCCCGAGGCGGCGGGGGGCTCGGCCGCACTGCCGTTGGGGGGGGCGGCCTCCTTGGGCTCGGCCTCGTCCCCGATGACCACCAGCTCCGCCGTGATGGTGTCCTGCAGCCCCAGCACCTTCTGGCTCTCCGCCTCATCCTCCACGTTCTGGTACCCCATGAAGATCATGGTGACCGGGGGCTCCTGGCCGGGCTGGATGCCCGGGGGGCCTGACGTGGCCTCGCCCGGCTGCGCCTGGACGCCCGTGATCTCCCGCCGCGGGGGGGTGGCGGTCCGGGCGGCCTCCGCGGACGTCCCCCCGGCCTCCGAGGCCCCCGGCGCCGGCCCTGCCTCACTCAGCGTGACTTCGTCCGCCTTGTGGATGAGGTCGTCCACCTCGGAGGAGCTCAGCGGCTGGATCCCGTTCACCGCGGTGCCGTCCACGGCGTGGACCACTGGAGGGGGGAAGAGAGAGAGTGAGACCTGGGACCGGAGAGAAGGCCTGGCAGGTCTGCAAGCCACACTCCAGGCTGAAGGGAAAATCACAGCCCCCAGGAGTGGCTCAGGGGTTGAACACTGACCTATGAACCAGGAGGTCACGGTTGGATTCCTGTCAGGGCACATGCCCAGGTTGCAGGCTCATCGCCAGTAGGGGGCATGCAGGAGGCAGCTGATCAGTAATTCTCTCTCATCACTGATGTTTCTCTCTCCTCCTCTCCCGTCCTCTCTGAAATCAACATATTTTAAATATGTTTTATTGATTTTCCACAGAGAGGAAGGGATAGGGATAGAGAGTTAGAAACGTCGATGAGAGAGAAACATCGACCAGCTGCCTCCTGCACACTCCCTACTGGGGATGTGCCCGCAACCAAGGTACATGCCCTTGACCGGAATCAAACCTGGGACCTTTCAGTCCACAGGCCGACGCTCTATCCATTGAGCCAAACCAGTTTCGGCAAATATATATATATATTTTTAAAGAGAGAAAACGATAAGCCAAATTAGATGGACAGTCTAAGCTTCCTGTTGGGATCTGTGGGCACAGCCAAATCGGAGTACACAGGAAAATTCCTGTGGAAAACACCCCAGCAATTCCTCATGAGGTTAAAGAGTCCGCATATGACCCAGCAATTCTTTATAAACAAAGAAAGATTGGAATTCAGTGAGTTGCAGGGATCCTTTCTTCCTTCTTCTGGTTTATGTGGTTGATCCGGAATTAATTTAGTTCATTCACCCAGTCTTTCTTGTTTTCCTATAACTGCCCAGAGGCTATACCTTCTCCTGAGTTCAGCTTTGGCTGCACCCATGTATTGAATTACTTTGTCCTCTTTCAAGTTTAAATATCTTATAATTTCCATTTTGACTGACTGTCTCTCTAAGCCAAGATATATTACAAAAGATGTTTTTAAATATTGGGGAGTGAGGGATAAATATTGGGGAAACAGAGCATAAGATATTACAGACACCTTTGCAGTTCAGAACATGGTCACTTTTTGAAGATGCTTTACCTGTGTTTGACAAGAACAGTCATTCTCCATAGGGCAGAGTTTTATTCCTGCAATCAATCTCCCCCCCCCCCCCAACCCCTGCAATCAATCTGTGAAATGCACTTTCCAAATCTCTCCAACCTTCGTGCTCCGTGTCTCTTTCTGGACTGTGTTGCGGTCTCTAAGGATGGGGTTTCAGCACCAAGGAGTCCCAGCCACAGTTGGACGCCAGCCCCAGATCACAGCCCTAGCAGCACAGACAGCGGCCCGGCTGCCCGGGGAGGGAGGAGGGACTTACAGAGCCTGGGATTCGCTCCTCCCTGGACAAGGGTCAGGGCTCCGATTCCTGGCTCCTGGCCAGACGGAAAGTGCTCTCAGCTTTCAGTTTCCAGAGGGGGGTGGGGGGGAGGTCCACGTTTCAAGGCCTCTAAGTGACTTTGAGCTGGAGGCCCAGAGGACGGGTATGCCCAGGTAATGCAGAATCAAGCTGAGTGTTTCCCAATGGCCATTGCCCCAAGATAGGAATCTGAGCCCTCAGCTGCCTTGGAAGTGGATCACCTTCCCATTGCTAAGCAACCAGAGTCCAGTCTGGAGGGTCCTGACTCCCCAGGGGCTGGGCCAGGCTGGGCAGAGTGGCCATGGTGAGGACCTTCCGCTGGCACAGAAATCTTTGCCCCTCAGCCTCATGCAGTCATGTCTGCCAAGACCACACAGCTGGTGAGAGCTGGACCAGAATCCTCCCCGGGTCTATCCTCAAAGGCAGCAGTCGCCAATCTTTTGGACCTCACGGGCCACCAGGGGTCCACGGACCACCGGTCGGTGACCGCGGCTAAAGCGTGGCAGAGCTGGGCTAGCCCAGGACCCCCACGATAGCATTCTGGACACCCCAGAGACCCAAATAACTACTAAGAACAGGAGGCGTTGGAAAACAGAGCGGCAGTGGAATGTCTCTTCACACCCAACAAAGAAAAAAAACCCCCACATGAACATGTCGAGGATGCGGAGAAATTGGAACCCTCATGCACTGCTGGTGGGAAAATAACGTGGTCCGGCCACTGTGGGAAACACCCCAGCCATTCCTCATGGGGTTCGAGTCCCCACATGACCCGGCAATTCCACTCCTGGGTGTTGGCCCAAGAGAAAGGAAATCATTCACTCACACAAACGTATAAAACCATTCCCTCCACGGGCGGCTGGATAAGCATAATGTGGTCCATAAAACAAGGATATCGTTCAGTCACAGGATGTGAACATGGATGGACCTTAAAGACGTGACGCTTCGTGAGAGAAGCCAGACACCAAAGGCCACGCCGCATGCGACCCCCTTTATGTGACACGTCCAGGAGGGGCACAGCCACGGGGGCAGGAAGTGGGTCAGTGTTGTCAAGGGCTGAGGGGTGGGCAATGATGAGTTTTTTGGTGTGTGTTTTTTAAAATATATTTTATTGATTTTTTTCACAGAGAGGAAGGGAGAGGGATAGATATAGTTAGAAACATCGATGAGAGAGAATCATCGACCAGCTGCCTCCTGCACACCCCCTAACTGGGGATGTGCCCGCAACCAAGGTACATGCCCTTGACCGGAATTGAACCCGGGACCCTTCAGTCCGCAGACCGACGCTCTATCCACTGAGCCAAACCGGTTTCGGCCATGATGGGTTTTTTATTTGGGGAACAAAAATGCTCTGGAGAGCCTTCGCTCACCTCCCGCGTGCTGTCCGGCAGCCTCGCTTCGCTTCGCCCGGCTTCACCTCACCCGCCGCTGTCATGCCCCGCCTGATTATTCTCTGCCTGCACCACCGCAGCCGCCTGAGTCCGCTTGGACCCCGGCTGGCCCACTCGGGGCCTGGTCGCAACCGGCAGCCGTTGTCCGAGATGGACATGGCTGTTGGACTCGTGGTGTTTTTTATGACTTTCTTAACACCGTGTGGGTATATACTGAACAACCTGAGCCAGTTCAGAAGACAGTAGGCGCAAGAAGATGCAGAGCAGCTGTTAACGACCAGCAAGATTTCAGAGAAAAAGCTGCTCCTTTAAATGAGTAAAAGTGCCAAGTTGGATTGATGGGCATTGTGGGGGTATTCAGTTTCATGACCATATGTTTAGAGTCAATATTTTGCACTTTTTTAGGACCGTGCATTATATAAAGTTGAGCTGTTTAGTCATTTAAAAATGTTAAATAAAAAGGAAGCACTTAAAAAAAAATGCTCTGGAATCAGCTGGTGAGGGTGTACAACGTGGTGGACGTACCAAACCCACTGCACTGTGCGCCGAGCACTTCATACGCCATTTCCTCACCAGGGAAAGGTTGCGGACGTGCTAATGGGCTCTAGAGCTGAACTGTATTCACCTTATACTTGGCTCAGGGGACTTGGTCCTGTGAACTCCATTCCCTCAAGAAAGATAATGCTTGCCTTGATTTTTATTTTTTTTAATATGGAACGCTTCACCAATTTGCGTGTCATCTTTGCACAGGGGCCATGATGATCTTCTCTGTATCGTTCCAAATAAATTTTTTTTTTTTTTTAATATATGTGCTGCCAAAGCGAGCACTGCTTGATTTTTTAAAAAAATACATTTTATTGATTTTCCTCAGAGAGGGAGAGGGATAGAGAGCTAGAAACGTCGATGAGAGAGAAACATCGACCAGCTGCCTCCTGCACACCCCCCACCGGGGATGTGCCCGCAACCAATGAACATGCCCTTGAGCGGAATCGAACCTGGGACCCTTCAGTCCGCAGACCGACGCTCTATCCACTGAGCCAAACCGGTTTTGGCTTGCTTGATTTTTTAAATGTACCTTTTAACATGTCTTCTTAAAACATATTTTGTTTACTAAAGTGGATTTGTTTGCTTTTACTAGCATCACAAAAACGTTGCCAGGACTCCCCCTCCCCAGGGTCCTTTACATATATCCTACCACTCCTGCCGAAAGTGGACACAGACGCTTGTGAAACTGCTCTGTGGCCTGACCAGTGTGGCTCAATGGTTGAGCATCACCCTATGAACCAGGAGGTTGCGGTTCAATTCCCAGTCAGGGCATATGTCTGGGTTGCGGTATAAATTCCCAGTAGGGGGTGTGCAAGAGGCAGCTGATCAATGATTCTCTCTCATCATTGATATTTCTCTCTCTCTCTTTCTCTCCCTCTCCCTCTCTCTGAAGTCAATAAAATATACTTAAAAATATATATATACTTAAAATATACTTTAAAAAAAAAAGGTGGGGTGGGGCATATGTGGGGAGGTGTTTGGGATGAGAATGGGGGGAGATTAGGACAAATATGTGATACCTTAATCAATAAGAAATAATAAAAAAAATAAAAGAAACTGCTCTGTAAATACTGATGGAGTGTACAGTTTAAATAAACATTTTCCTTATTTAAGTAAGAGTGAATTTGATGGTAAATGAGTTATATTCACACACACACACACACACACACACACACACAGGGACTTCGGCCTTTTGCCCCAGCTCCCCGGCTCCTCTGTGTTCCAGTCTTGCTACTGGGTGTCTCCCACAGCCTGTTCCCCTCCCAGTCACTAGGGGGACCATAAAAAACAAGTTAGATCTCACTGCCTGCTCACCCCTCCCAAAGTTCTCTAGTCCCCTCCCTCCACTCCCTATCAGCCCACAGGCTCTTCTCAGTTCCTCCGGTCCAGCAAACTCCATCCCACCCCAGGGCCTTTGCACGTGCTGTGGCCTCTGGCAGGTGCACTGTTCCCCTACACGGAGTGTGCACTCAATTAGCTCCTGTTTACCTCCCCTGAGCATCCTTCCCTGGACCCCTCCTGCCTGAACAGCTCATGACCTCCTCTATCTTTGGGACTTTTGTAGCCTCTATCACAACAGTAATTATTTCAACAAGTTATTTGTGATCTCGGAATTGAAGGGCTTGGCTCACTGACCGGGGAGTCCCACCGGGGATTTGCTTTCCGGACACAGTCGGGCACCTGGCACTTAGTCAGCCTTCAAGGCAAGTGCCTGGGATGAAAGAAGGACTGGGCCCCGGGTTCAAGCTCAAAGCAACAGAGGGGGCTGAGGCCCTGTCAAGTCAGATGGGGGTCGGGCTCTGGCTCGGGCAGCGAGAGGGGGTTTGGGGCAGGGCGTGGGGGTCTCGTACCTTTGGTCTCGTCCTCGTAGACCTTGACGCCCTGAAGGAGCGGCTCCCGAGGGAGCGAGGTGGTGCTGGACAGCACCCGGGTCTCCCCGGTCACCTTGTCCTTCTCCACCGTGATCTCAACCGAGTACATGGCTGGCACGAGAGGCACAGGTTACGCCATGGCCACCCGCTCAAGTGCCCCCCGCGGGGCTGCAGCCAAGCCGAGGAGGGGAGCTGGCAGCACAGAGCCAAGCAGCAGGGACACCTGAAGCGCAGACCTCACCAGCTCAACATCCTTCTGTGGCTCCCCAGTGCCCTGGCCGCAGGTCTGTATTCCTGCGCTCCACACGAGGCCCATCCTTGCCACCCCATCCTATGTGGGAAGCCTTAAACGGTCCCATTTGCTCCGAGGAGAGAGTGTGTAAAAGGAGGAATGCCTTGCCCATGGTCGCAGCTACAACACGACTTGGGTTAACGGGCCAGCCCCCGCATTATCTGTCCACCTCTCCGTCCAGTGAACTATGGAATCTGCCCTCGTCTACCTCCATGAAGAATGGATCACTTCCTCTCAAAACGAGTGAATGTCATTTTACCCCTTAGGGCCACTATTCCATGCCCAGCGTCTCACCCACGTTCTGTGGAGCTCATTGCCACAACACTGCATGGGGAGACTGAGTCCTGGCACTGACCCCTAGGACCTCACCCCAAAACCCAGTACCACACTACCTCCCTCCACCCTCCCCATGGGAATCACCACGCCCAAGAGCCCCTCCCAACCTGCCCCTCCCACCTGCCCCTCCTGGGTCTTACTGCCCCAGGAATATCAGCTCCCACCTCTCCCTCTCTCACCCTCTTCGCTGTCCATCAGAAAACCCTAAACCCATACACTTCTCACCCCCTCGGCAAACCACGGTCTGTTCTCCCCAAAGCCACCAGAGGGCACCTGTGAGAACTCGAGTCAGGTTTGGCCTTGGCCTCCCACAGCCACCAGAGGACGCCAGTGAGCACCCAGTGGGCATATCCCTGCTCTGTCCAGGGCCCTCCCTGGCTCCCATGTCCACAGGACCCTGTAAGACCTGGCTTTCACCCCCATGGCCTCAGTTCGTCCCTCTCCCTCACATATTCCACTGCCACAGCACAGCGTACCAGTGTCAGGGCCTTTGCCTCCACCGGGACCACATTCACCCCGGTGTCTGCATGCCTTGTTCCCTCACTTCTTTTGGGTCCTTGCCCAAATGTCACCTCCTCACTTTGGCCTCCCCTGAACCCTCTTATTAAAATTGCCCCCCCTTCAGCACCTCGTGATCTGCCTATTTCCTCTGTAAGTTAATTTTATGGGCTGTGGACCCATCAGCATACCAGCTGTGTCACTCAGCAGGGGCTCAATAAGCACTTGTTGAAAGAATGTCATTTAATCTCATGTCCCTACACAGCCTAACACCCCCATCTCAGACACAGAGTTGGACAGGACGACAGGACGCACACTGCACGAGATTGCCAACTGAGGGGACAGGTGCTGGCCTCGGGGTGGCCAAACTGGCACAGAAGCCCTGAAGATACCCCGTTCTTCTCTGGAAAACAGTGCCCTCTGCCTCCTGCCCGCTGGGGCAGAACTCCGCCCGGACCTGCAGGAGACCCTGGGCCTCTGCTGCCGCCTCTGCCTTCGAGTGCTGTCACAGCCCAGCCCCCTGCCCCTAAGAGGGCCTTCGCCGCCCGTCTCGCCCCAAGAACAGCAGGAGTAGCAAGAAGGTTCTGTGACTTCTGTGGTTCCCTGCCAGGCCTTCGGTGTGAGGTCACTGCAAGTGCACCCCTCCTGTGGGTGGAGACTCAGGTGTTGGGGGGCAAAGCAGGGATTTGAACCTGACCTCATAGACTGCTTAGCGCTAAGCCTGTCTCTTCCTGCTTCCTAGAAGGCATGGCTGAGGCCCAGCGTGGTCGCCTCCATGGGCAGGGCACTCACGCCCCCCCCGCCCCGGGGCCTGCGTGTGGAGGAGGGTTTATGGTGTGTGTGCGTGTGTTTGGACATGTGGGCCGCCCCTCGGGGCGCCGGGAGCGAGTGGCGTGGTTAGGGGGATGGGAGCTGTAGAACGTGATGGGTTAGAGCAGCCATGCAAGGGGGCCGTCTTCCTGTGGAAGCCGGACGGCATGTGACCCAGGAGCCAAAGCAGAGGCATCGGCCAGGCTCTACCCAGGCTACATACAGCCTTGGTCCACCCTCCTCCCGCCCCCACAGGCTCCCAGGGCCGACACCGGCCCAGGACAGCAGCTGGACGAGGGCCGAGGCCCGGGCCGACCTACCTGCCTTCATCATGGTGGAGCCTTCCACCGTCCGCACCGGGGTGTTGGAGACTGACTTCGCTGCTTCGGGAGCAAAGAGGGGGAGAGAGGTGCGGGTCAGAGGAGAGAGGATGACACAGACCCCCAGACACACGGACAACCGCCCCGACTCTGACGTCCCCCAGACACGCAGACACCTCCTAGGCACAGTGCCCAGACGCCGGCCCCTCCCCCAGACACACACACACACACACACACACACACACACACACACCCGACCACTCCACGTGCCCGGCTCCCAGGCACACGTGGAACCCCTCCCCTCACCGAACACCCATCGGCCCGCTGTCCATTTCCTGTCTCTCGGCCCAAGTGATTTTCACAAAGTCCCTGAGAAGCCTGCGTAGATTTTTTTTTTTAATTATAAATTTTTAATTCCCCAGTAAGACAAGGAGACTCTCCTTATGAATAATTAACACAAAAGAAATCAGGCTGAGGCACTTCTGGCCGCCGCCTTCACTTCCAGCTGGTGAATCTCCTGCCATACTCCCCATAGGAAAGTAGGCAAGTTTAATGTCTATTTTAACAATATAATTTATAGGAAATCATTTTAATATAATTAACTATCATATTTATACCTAAGCATACACATGTGAAATATTTGCGAATTGTATAATATACCTATAATAATTTAGCGGGGAGTAAAATGGGTCCCAGGGTTCAAATTTGGGGCTTTTTTTTTTTTTTTTTTTTTTTTTATCTGTCTCCTGGACTCTTGTTCTTTTAAATGGTGCCTGATCTCCAGGAAAGCGGGGACCTTGCTCTCCTCATGAGCCCCTCTGAATTCTCATCCCCACAGAACCCATTTTACAGATGTGAAAACCAAGGCACACCCCCTCACACACACACACCACCTGCCAGAGCAAGTGGACAGAGAGGGTCAGCCAAGGCCAGACACCCTCAGTGGACAGGATGGACCCACAGCATCAACTCCAAGGCGAGGACCGCGCCCAGTCACAGCCCTGCAAGGCCTTGGTTTCCTCATCTGTAACGGGGGCGTGTGGGGAGGACTGCCGCAATCCACCCCAGGGACGTTGTGAAACTAAATGCAATGGTGATGAGGGCTTGGGGCCAGGCTCCACTGTGGGTTCCTTGG